GCTATGTTAGGAATAAATATCTCCAAAGAATATTTGTTATGATCTTGACATGGTATTAGCCATAAATTAGATTACTAGATTAGGAACTAATGGATAATATTTAAAAATCTTACATTAACTCGGTCAATCTAATATTTTGGTCAGTTTCCGATATTTCCGAAAATCCCCGAGACTTCCAAATATCTTCCCCAAATTTTTTGTATAAATAATAGTGAAGAGAAACAAAGAATTCTCACACTACACCAATCTCTCTAATGGCAAATTCTATCCTCTTGCAGAAAAATCCAAATTCCAACAACAATGGCGATCTACGAACAAGAGTTTGCCACGACCGTGGCGGTTGCAACAAAGAAGAGAACGTTCAAGAAATTCTCATTCAGAGGATTCAACGTTGAAGCTCTTCTCAATATGTCCAACTTTGATCTTGCTAAGCTTTTCAACGCTCGTGTTCGAAGAAGATTCTATAGAGGATTAAAGAAGAAACCTTTGGTTCTGATCAAGAAACTACGAAAGGCGAAAAAAGAAGCAAGTCTTGAGAACAAGAAGAAGCCTGAAGCAGTGAAAACACATCTAAGGAACATGATTATTGTTCCCGAGATGATTGGAAATGTTGTTGGAGTTCATAACGGTAATTAATTTAATGAGATTATGATTAAACCGGAGATGATTGGTCATTATCTTGCGGAGTTTTCGTTAACTTGCAAGAGGGTTAATCACTATAGACCACGTATATGTGGTTGTGGTTGTTACCGTCGGTCCACTAGGTTTATTCCTCTAAGGTGATGAAGAAAAAGTTGTGTTTTTATTTTATTTTGAAGAAAGCTTTTTATTGGTGTTTTTTTTTTTAATGTTTTGGACCATAATATTTGTGCTTTATGATTTATGTATTCTCTTCTTTGGAATGTCCCTTAAAGCTTTAAATAAAACTTTCAAATCTTTCTTTCTCGCATGACTCGCATCATATAATAATTATTTTGATTGGGTGAACATTAAACCCTTACGATGGATTAATTCTAATTTCTAACCTTAAGAAAAAAAATGAAATTCCCCTATATTTCTTTTTTCGTTGAAACCGGACCTAAACCTTTTTCCGATGAATAAGTGA